TCCACAGCGGCCCGACACAGTCTATTCCACTGCCTCACTACTTTAACATTGAAGAAGTTTTTCCTGATATTCAATATCTAAATTTATTTTGCTGCAACTTTAAACTATTGATCTGCATCCTACTGTCAGCAGCAAGGGAGAAAAGGTGTGATGGGAGATGGGAAAATGGCATGAAAGTGAGAAAGCTTTCACCACAATACAGCAAAGTCTCCTAAAGAGTGCTCTCCTTACATGGAAAGGAGAAATATCAAACATGAAAAACATTATGGATCCTATAATTTTAGGGTTTCTGTGAAGATTTTTCCTGAATTCTCCAGTATTTTACAAATTCTATGCTTCTTTTGAAAGATATAAATTTAGTACATCTAAAACAGAAATGCCATACAAATGACATTTCCCCCTTTCTGATCCCTATGTACCCCCTGAAGTTCATGCTTCAAACCAAATTCAAGCTTGAAATACAGCTTTAAATGGAAGCTTTAGAAGGCAGAGAAATACTACCATCATAAACACACTCTCTTTTTTCTTAAAAATAAGAAAAATAAAAGGCAAAACATGGCAAGATATGCAGTAGTTAATGTTACCAGTACGTAATGTCAATGTACCATATATTTTAAGGTAGCCATTTACAAGAAACACTGGAATGGAAAATAGTAAACACATGAACACAGACAAGTTAATACTACATTACTGGTGTGTTCATTTAAGTTTCAGGGGTGTAGGTTGTAGCTGTGTTGGTCTAAGCACATAGGCAGACAAGGTTCTTTGGGTAAATCTGATATCTTTTATTAGACCAACTCAAATAGTTGGAAAAATTCTTCCAACTAAGCTTGCAAAGAAGAATTTTCCCAACTATTTGAGTTGGTCTAATAAAAGATATTGGATTTACCCAAAGAGCCCGGTTTTCATTTAAGTTTTATTTTTATAAGAGTTTTGGACTGGTGTAACATCCTTCCTATTTAAACTACTAAAAGCCTTAGAAATCTGGGAAGGTAAAAACCACATTCTCCTCTATCTTAGGTTCCATAACTGCACATTTCTGAGTTATACCTTTTGAGCCATTTCTGCTTGAAGATGCTTTTCAATTTCTTTTCGATATTCACTGAGTTTTACTTCGAAAGATTCAAATTTCTGATTCTGGGGGTAAATGTCTGCAAACTGTTCATCAATCAGTTGAAGCTTCTCAGCTATAAAGAAGATGGCAAAAAATGTGACACCTACTGACACATCACACAGTAATGTATCACTTTGTGATAATTGCTTCATTCACGATTTTAGGGTCATTATATATTTAAGTGATCAATGTCTAACTTCTACACAACAGCTATCAAAATAACAGTAAGTGACAGTAGATAGCAAAATGCTTGGAAACAAATTATCTATGTAGGTCACATTATGACCATGCAACATTTAACCATTTGTGCCGAAAGTTTGATATGCTTTTTAAATATACTATGTAGGTTTCTCGAGTAGAGATATTCTGAATAAACAGAGTTCTGAAACATCAGAAAAGAGCTGTCCAGAAAAGCTGAATTTACCAAGAGATTCTCTGTAAGGAGGCACTGAGGTTGTCTGAGTTTCTGTATCATGGCTTCCCCTACTTAGATGATTCTCCATCAGCTCCATTAAAATCTGCATAAGAAAACCTTAAAGATCAAGAATATTAATTGCTTCCTTCTTTCATAGCAGTCAAATTTTTAACTCAGAAACAAAGACATATTTACTACACAAAAAAAAAAAAAAAAATGACAAAAGAGTGTGTGCACCCCCCACTCCTGCCAACACAAAAATAAGTGTGGTTTGGTCTCCCAATCAGCAAAAAAGACATTCTCTAACTACGGCTAGTACCCATCTGCCTCCCCCACTCCCTCACCTCCAAGATTACTGAGAGAGCAGATTATTACTGTTGTTACTGGTACCCAAGAACAACCAGAGCTGTATAAAATATTGAGTCCTTTTGAAGAAAAACAAAAAACAAAAGAAACCAAGCCACTTTGTTTAGGTGCTCAAGTTCCAACTTATAAGTTTAACTTTTGGCACCTATTTATTAAAACTGTACCCAAGTCATATATTTCATATATGCCACAAATTAAACTCTGAAGCATAATGGCTACTAACCTCTTTGAGTGGAAATAATTTTAACCACCTTATTTAAATTGAAAGAATCCAATATTTAGCAATCATCAAGGAAACTGAGTTTGTTGTTAATATCCTATCATGAATAAAATTGCCAAAAAAAAAGGGAAGTATTAAAAGCAAAATTGCTACCATCGTGTACAAAATATTTAAATAAACCATCATACCTTTTCTATTTTCCTTTTGAGTGCCTAAAATCTGTAAGGAAAAAGATGGAAACTAAGCCAATGTATTCTGTCATAAATTGTAACTCAAGCAATAGTTACATAATTAAAAACAATTTACCAAGGATTTGTAAAGACTAGATTTTGGATTGATCCGAATCAGCTGCAAAAGGTCTTGCACTGTAAACACCTTTGGAAAAAAGAAAAACAACAACCACAAATTAAAAAACACTGTAAATGATCAATACCAGTTACTCTGTTTCAGTAAAAGATAGGTAGCAAAGACCCAATCTACAGGCCAGATCCAGCCCAAGGAGCCCAGTCTGACCTGTGGTGGTGCCCATAGGTCTGAGATTTGACCCACATGCCACAAGCAGTGTGCCCTGGATCATTCCAATGCAATGCACACAGCTGGGATGCGTGCTGTATGCGGTGCCCATACAGGGTTGGTCCAAGCTTCATGTTGTGTGCAGCACCCACAGTGGGCCAGCCAGGCCACGTGCCAGCATACGTGCCATTGGATATGTGGACCTGATCCTGCCCAGAGGTGCGTGTTGCATGCACACCATTCATTCATCCTGTAGACCCTCCCCATGCCATTCATCCAGCTTGTGGGGCCTGATGAGTTTGACACCCCTGAAGTAAAGAGATCCATATCTGATGTACCATACCACTTTAGAATATAAAGATCACTTAAGCTTGTGTGCTGTTATTGGACTATAGGTGCCAGAGAGCCAAATGAGGCATATGGCAGAGAGTCATGTCTCTTTGGACAAAGTCCAATTCTACTGCTCAGAGAGACTACAATATAGGAGACAACACTCTCAGACTGCCTATTGATATAAAAATGTATAACCCAATTATCCATGTGAATCAAGACTACCTTTTGAAATGAAAAATTGTAGAATATACACCGTCTCTAGAACTCTTCTGTATCAATGACTTGCATAAATAGACCACCTATCCTGCATGTGATTTTTTTTATGTGGAAAAAAGAGTTTTAATTTGGATTACAGCAGTGGTATCAATCTTTTGGCTCTGCAGGCCAGATGAATGGTGCAGGACCCATCTGTAGGCTGGATCAGGCCCTGGGGCCCAGCACTGACCTCTCCCTGCCTGCAGTGCCAGGGTTGGGTCCCACGGTCATAGCACTGCACCCTCACCCCAAACATGCTAGGGTTGGACCTGGGGACCTGCAGAGACCTGGTGCCACCCCCTCCTAGCTCCCCACACTGGGGCTGGGCCCTGGGGCCCAGCGTTGCCCCTGGCCAGCTCTGAATGTTGGGATTGGGCACTGGATCCAGCATGCCAGGCTTGGTGCAACTCACTGGTTTGGGGATTTGGCAGCAGGGGAGCGAGGGCATCACTTCCCCACCACCAAATTTCCAGACCTGGGGAGAGTCCTGCAGGCCGGATAACAGAGTGCTGTAGGCTAGAGGTTGAGCACCCCATAATCAGAGGAATGACTTCCTAAAAGGGGAACCCTTGGCATAATCTCGTCACAAACACAGCACTTTAAAAATGTTGTTGGATGGTTTAGTTAATTTTTGCTAAGTTCTATAAAAGTGTTATCGTGTACATCACTAACAAAAATAAGTTACAGAGCTTGCCTTCTCCTTTTCCAAGCCACTTTCTGGGTAGAAAACAGAAAGTGAATATTCGTAGCCGCATCGATGCAGGTGATCTGCCACTAGACTGTTGGAGGCACTAACTAACAGTGAACTTTCGTCACTGGAAACAGTTTGTGGCTGAAATTCTCCATTTAAAATTGGATGCATCAGCTCATGGATTAACTGGTTTCGAAGTTGAGTCTGTTAAAAAAAAAAAAATCAGTATGAGATAAACAGAGAAAACACCAACATCTTTTATTTTCCTAAAGCTACATGCATTCCCTTCAGGAAACTAAAAAGAGTATGATATAAATAAGCACAAAGGAGAAAAAAAACTAACTTATGTCTGTCTTTTGTGGAATCTGGAAAGTTGTTTGGGTCTTCAGGTAATTCCTCATCTCTTCCTCTAACACTAAGATGAACTTAACTTCCATTCCAACAATTGTGAGATGAGAGATGAAAATACTTATTCTCAAAAGCCATATGTCATTCAAACACCACCTGCCACAATGAAACCATTTTTAAATTACTGCTTTTCCCATTCAACTTGTCTCTTTGCTACTTCCTGTCTCATGTATCATCATGTCCAATTTTGCCTGAAAAACTGTAAAATGAAAGGCCAAGTTGTTGCTGATTCCTTCCACAAAGGGTGGGAGAGAGATGGAGAACAAGAAACACTGCCTCAAGCACTGCTAAATTTTTGGAATGGAAGGGGTAAGCAACACCAACAAAGTTCTTTCCCTGTAAGAAAGCTAAACAGAATAAAGGTATGCATACAGAAGCATCTGGGACTGGCGAACAATGACAGGACAAGGCACAAAAGTAGACAACTAAGAGAGTAACCGTGAGGAGAAGGAAGAAAAACAGAAAATATTGGGGAAAAGACGGAAAACATGAGGGAAAGGGGAAAAACCAAAGAAACAATATAGGGAGAAATACACTATAATGAGGGAACTAGGCTGGAACCCTGGATATGTAGGTTAAACTTTCTACTCTTAATTGTATATTTTTTGAGCGAGCTTGCAAATCACTTGCTTTTATGTCTCATTTCCACCTGTATAAAATGTAAACAATATCTTTTTTTTCCTCCATCTGTTGCCTAGTTAGTTACTTAAATTAGAAGACTTCTACGGTGGAAGCTATTTCCTATCATGTGTTTGTATAATACCTACCTAGGGACTCCAATCCTGTTTGGGACATCCAGACACTACCAATATTATATGATAATAATTAATAACACGCTGTGATAAAAAGGAAAATCAGGAAGAAAAAAATATTAAAAGGAGAAAAAGTTACACTATAAAAATTATAAAATGTAAAGATTATAATATAGATAATTAAATACACAACATAAAGAGAATTGCAGGAGTGTGATGGGATCTGAAGACAGGTGCTGAACAAAGGAAAATGCAAAATGGGATAAAGTGCACCATGGTTTTACTAAAGATGGATTGTGCCTGATCAGATTAACCAAATTTCCTTACCTAGAGAAATCAGTTGTCAACTAAATATAAATTTAGTCGATAACTGATTTCTCTAGGTAAGGAAATTTGGTTAATCAATTTGTCCAGACTTGAATAAAGCAGTAAAAAAAGTGTTACTTGCAACATTACAATCAAACCCAGATTCTTTGACAGCTCAAGTTCCTAGCCCCACAGCAAGGTGAGGGCTTGCAAACTAGCCAGGGGTAAGTATTGCTGTAGCAAATAGCTGCACAGGACCACAGGCATGTGTCAGCTGTTTGTCACAGCTTATATTTCAAACAGTTCTATTTCTCCAATCAGCTCCGTGGGACTATGGGCATGATACAGTTGATAGGAGAAGCAGCGCCCTCTGAAGTGAAAAAAACACAGAAAGCAGCGGGTATCTCATTTTTAATTCAGAAATGTGTTTCAAACCAAACAGGCTGTGAATAACCTGGAGTGAAAAATCCAGGGTCTACCGTATTTAAGATGGAGAGTATTTCAAGAATGATAAGGGTAGGTAAGGAACTAGCTAACCTGGGAAGAAAACAACGGGCTGTGCTCAGTACAGTACTACTAGCCAGAAAGAGCTTATTAGGGTAGTTCTTCAAGGATCAGTGTTGGCACTTGTCTTATTTAATCATTTAATTGATGACCTTGGCACAAAAAGCAGGAGTGTTCTAACCAAAGTTGCTGATGATGAGATAGAGTTGGAATGGCATTGTCAGTACAGAGGAGGATCAGAATATCATGCAGACAGAATTGAGTAACTTGAGAACTGAAGTAAGAAACACTAAATTAAATTTCATAATACAGAGGACAACTAACAAGAATCTCTACTATATGCTAGGGAATTATCAGTTGGAACAACAACAAAGCAGAAAAAACAGGATGTATTACAAATTACCAACTAAAAGCAGTTGTTAAAAAGGCAAATGGGATTCTAGAATATAAGATATAAAGCACCGAATATACCAACAAATAGCCATTTAAATCATGGCACAAACTATTTGCCATATCCTTTATTTCTACTTTAAAAGCACCACCTAAATCAAAACAAGCATGTGGGCTGCTTCACACCCACAGTGGCCTTGATCACATCTCAGTACAGCTTATTAAATTTGTTATTCAACATAGTACACTCAGTGTGTACCTGCTGCTTACATTTTATTAGGCTTTTTACTTTGTCTGTCTGCAGTGCTATAAATAACAATCAAGACACTTACCCAGTCAAGACACTGCTATAATGGCTGTAGCAGCAAACATGTGGTGGACAAAAAACCCCCACTCAGCCTAAGGGCGTGTAGTATTAGACGATGACTACACAAATCGGGTAATTTCCTGGCTATCTATATTACATGTGGCTTAAACTGGCTTTGTAAATTCTTTCTAGTAAAGCCAGGAAAAAATAGGCACAATTGTACAAGGCACTTATATGTGCTCATCTGGAATCCTATGCATCAGAAGGCAGCAACTTATGGCCCACAGGGCCTCTGGATTTGGTTCACAGATGTCACTTCAATGGCACTGGAGTGACCTTCTGTAAGCTGCTGCAGGGATGAATGTCAGCTGCAGGCACTCTCCCCCTGAATGAGTCAAGGGAGCCTATGGACATGGACCAGGGAAACTCTACCCAGAGACGCAAGTGGAGGAGCGAGAGGAAGATATCCCCACCCGTGCCTGGGTTTCTCCCAGCCAGGGCCTCCTTCCTGGTTTTGTAGATAGTCAGCTTGGCCAGAGCCAGGAGGTTGACCAGGAGGTCATGAGCAGGGAATCTGGTTTTCTCCGATTAAAAAAAAATTAAATCCCCAATTTTCAGGTTAAAAAAAGTAACCCAAAATCCACATTTTTCTGTTATTAAAATGAAACACTAGTAATACACAGATATTTTGGGTTACTTTTTTTAACCAAAAAATTGTGGGTTTTATTTATTAGAGAAAACCAGGATCCCTGGTCATGAGGCTTGGTGAGGCCACAGACAGGGAGTGCATAACAAAAAAGATGTGGGGAGAAGGACAGTCAGCATCTCAGCAGGAGCTTCTGGAGGAGGCAGAAAGGTGACAACCCAGCACACACAAGCTGCGTGTGCCCCAGGGCCTCCCGCTGTTGACAAAAGGGGTAGGGGTGTCCATAAAGCCTGTGGGGACGGCTCCATGAAGGAGTGGCCAGCTCAGGTCCTTGGTGGCTTGTAGGATCAGGGTGGAATAGACCGCTTCACCAGGGGCCCTTGCCTTCGGTTAGGGCATCCTGCCGCTTGTGGGGGTGGGATGTGAGGATGAGATGGTGGATTACGAGGAACACGAATGAGTAGAGCGGGCAGTGCTGGGCTGTTCAGCAGCAGCCCCTCCAGCCTGCGGAGATGGTGGGGCAGGGAGCGGTCCCGCTTCAAAATAACCCAAAAAGCGCTTGCCACAGGGCTCCCCAACACAGGTGAGGTAGCCATGGGGAGAGATGGCTGCAGACCTTCAGTGTGTCCAGGACACCGCGGTTCTTAAACGTCTGGTACAGCCTCCTCCGCAGCTCGTCCTGCGACAGCGCCTCCCGTCCCGCTGCCGCCATCTGCACCTGGCAGGGCAGCAAACAGGCTGGCATCACTCCTCCTGTCCCATCCTGTCCCACCCGCGCAGGCCTGCACCCTGCCGCGTGGGCACCCCCCACCTAGGGCATCTCAGGCTAGCAGGTATCGCTCTCAAATCCCCAGCTCACGGAATCCTGGGAGTACCTTGTGTTGACTGGACTAAGGAGCACGGATGCGGGACAGCAGCGCCCCCAAGGGAGGCGGGATTTGAACCCGTGGCCCCGGGGCGCCCCCCAGCGGGGAGGGATTGAGGGAGGGGGGCGGGGCGCCACTGCAGGGTCCGCGTGGAACGGCCTGGAAGGGACTGGGGGGGGGTGTGAGAGAGCGTCGGACGTGCATGCGCAATCACCTCGCCGAACCCCGGCTGCTGGAACTGGACGCGCTGATCTGTTACCAACCGCCGCCGACTGCGCTGGGCCGCACTCTCGCGAGATTTGGACCTCCTCCGCCTTCTCCTCTGAGGCGCGGTGGTGCCATCAGCCTGCGCCGGAAGTTTGGGAAGGCTCGGCTCTTGCAGTCGCTGTCGCCACGAGATCACCGGGGGCCGGTAGGTGAGGGCACTTGGCGGGAGCTCCGCCTTCTTCCCCCTCTGCTCGGCCGAAGGCGGAGCCAGGTGACAACTGTTTTCCCCACCACGCTGCGTTTTGGCGCGTGAGGTGAAGCACATCCTTGTTCCTTTAGGAATGACTTTGAAAGAAAAAATGGAAGGGAAAACGTAAGGAGTAAAGCCACGCTGGTGTTAGAACAATGCGCGTGATATTTCCATGCTGCAAGGCAGCCTGTTTCCAAAAGGTCAGATCCTTGGGGTTTAGTAATAGCATCTCGTCTGGATAAAACCTGTTGAAACCTAGGTTTTCAGTATCCTAGGATTGGAGAGGATTCCTGTAAGATCACAGTTACTGTGATGTCGGGGCCAAATTTCTCTGTGGCGGAAGTGTCAAAGTATGGCCCTTGGGCTGGATGTGGCTGCAGAGCTCTGCCACCTACCTTCATTTCTAGTTGGTGCATTGGCAAAACATCCTCAGCTTGAGAAGGAAAATGTTTCTGCAGAACACTTAAATAGAAACAAAACGCCTTAAATTTTGTTAAATTGCTTTGGAATATAAATGTGTGTCGGCCAACGTTAAAAATTGTCTGCTCTTAATCTATAATAAATGTAAACCTGTAACGCATTAGCTGATCTTCTCTTTAGAGACACCTGTTGATTCATTTACGAGTATGGAAACATCTGTAAAACATGTTTATCCTTTTCTTGAAAGGAGCATTATTTTGAAGACCATGTCTGCAAGTTTCTACTTTGTGATAGTTGGTCATCATGATAATCCAGTATTTGAAACTGAATGGCTACCTCCTGGAAAAGTAGAGTCCAAGGTTTGTGGATTGCATCTTCTCTTGGATACTGGCAACAGGCCCTGTAAATAAAAATGGGCCCACCAAAATCCTTTGTGGTATCTAGTACTTTATTTTTTGCAGAATACTGGTACATGGAAGGCTTGGACAGGGATTAGATCCCACAAATAATAATTCCTTTTGTGCATTAAACATTAGATTGTGGTGCTCTTCCAAAATTTCTACAGAACATCTGAGTATTTTTCACGTCCTTAGAAGAGCTATTTTAAAGAGCTTTCTGGTGGCTGTTTTGCATTATATCATAATGCCAGCTTGTAGAATCACCTGCTGTTACAGGGATTCTGCAACACAAAGGAATAATATCAGATACCGAATTTAGATTTTCAGTTCCGCTTCCTGAATTCTAACTAGCTTTGTGCTGTACATAACAATGCCCCAGGTTCTAGCTTTTATTATTACCCCTTTTTTAGGGGTAGCATAAGAGGAAGGTCTCAGTGTATTAACCTACTTGAGTAATTTTACAAATACATATTTTCTAGCCCATAATTAACAGCTCCAGGGAGGAAAAATGCATAATGAGGGCTTTGGGGAGAGGGGAAGGAAAGATTAAAAAATAGAGTGAGAAGGCCCATATATAAAAAATGCAAGACGTTTTTTTCCTTTCACCTTCTTTCATTCCCAGATAAAGTTGTGGTGACCCTTCTTGCTCTTACCTTTGTGTCTGTGTGTCTCCTCCCAAATTTTGCTTTGCTTATGATAATGAGCAGTCTAAAGAACGGAGGAGGAAGTATAAGGAATGAAGCAACCCTGCTGTTGTGGGAACAGCATGGGTATTATTTCCATGCTGCAGGGCAGTCTCAGTTTCCAAACTTGAATCCTTAGAGTTTAGTTTTAGCTTTCCTTTAGATAAAACTGCTTTCACTATCTTAGGATTGGAGAGGACTTCAGTGAGGCATGGAATTGCATTTGTCTACAGTTAGAACTACAGTTGTCTACATGATTCTGAGCCACATTAATGGCAAGTGTCAAATTATGGCCCAAAGGCTGGATTTGGCCATGGAGCCCTGCTGTCTATCCCCCTCTGGCTCTGAGCTGATCTACACAGGTGCCGCAGCAAGCACCAGACCAGGTCTGCAGTCAGTGTGTGGGATGTACGCTGCATGCAATGTCTGGCTCTGCTGCTCCAGGGCTGCTGCACAGATGAGCATTTGTGCACAGATGGGAATGTGCTGCATGTGGCACATTCCCATTGGGGGCATGTTGAAAATCCTGGAATCGCTGTACATGGTGCCTGCTGCATCTAGACTGTATCACATACAGCGTTGGCTTCAGGGTGCATGTCATGTATGGTGTCTGCCCTGGCAGTTCCAGGACTGCAGCTCCAGGACTGCCCTCTTCAATTAGTCTAGGATACATGCCGTACATGGTGCCTGTGCATGCCACATGCAGCATGGGTGCCAGAAGCTGAAGTGGGTGCTGTGCAGTGTGATTCCTAGAGCAGGTGCTGTGTGTGGTACAGTCTGGCCTGAGCAGGCACTGTGTACAGCACATATCTAGTCTGGGATCCACACTGCATATCTCTGACTGGATCTGGCCTACATGCAGTGTAGGTCCTAGACTAGTTGTAGCAGGCACCAGTTCTGTATGCTGGGGAAATGGGGGTTGGCTTGTAGTCCGTGGTCTGGCCCCATGCCACTCATCTGGCTCACGGGGCTGGATGAGTTTGACATCCCTGATCTATGGTATTAACTTCCATTCATATACATTGTAGTGGGACCTGCAAGGATGTATACACAAATGATGCATTAATCACAGAGACTACATGCTTAGTATTTGTATGTATTTAGATTCTATATCATATCTGGCAGGAGAGAGGCTAGATTGATGGGGGGAAAAAAGACTTAACACAATCTTAGGGTACATCTCCATGCTTTAGTACTTCCCTTTGGAAGTACTAAAGCTCTGCAGTGCAGGCAGTTACTGTCCCGTGTGCATGGCATACAGTTAGATTTTGCTGCTATGTGACCGTAGTGGTGCGCTATAACCAGGGAGCGCGCCAGTATGGTGACGTAGCTGGCAATCATGTATAGACCCACGTGATAGCTATATTGCCATAGCATGCTGTTGTACAGTGACAAAGCATGTTGCTACATCACCATAGGGTGATGTGTAGCCACACCCTTAGAGGAATGAGTAGATTATTCTTATTGTGTTTTATTCCATACACTCAATAACTCCATCTTCCGTCTTCCACACAATATATATCAGGATGATCATCGCCATCTCAACCAGTTCATAGCTCATGCTGCTCTTGATCTAGTAGATGAGAATATGTGGCTATCTAACAACATGTACTTGAAGACAGTGGACAAGTTTAATGAATGGTTTGTTTCTGCATTTGTCACTGCAGGACATATCCTTTTTTTCCTCCTGTATTTAATAGTAAACTTCTGCCAGAAAATGAGTCAAATGAAGCAAGTTTGGAGTAAAATTCTTGTGTTATCTTTTTTTCCGGAAGGCAGTATTTACAGAGTAGTCTGGAGGAGCACTGTCCAAGATGGGTCATTAGAAAGACAGAACCAATTGGAATATATGTATTGAACTTTGGTTTGGGGAGAATGGATTGAAAGGACAGAAATTCTCTAATGGGGCAGAAGATTATACAAGCTCAAAGAATAAAGCAGACAAGAGAGGAACAATAAAAAGAGGAAGTCTGCTTGCATGTTTAATTCTCTTTTAACTTGACTCTGTTCTTCTGTCCCCCAAAGGCCCTTTTTTAGGGAGGAAGAGGGATGTGTGGTTATAGTCTAGTCTGACACTGATCTATTTTCAAAGAACGTTTCTGTTTTGTTTAAAAAAAGGTTTAAGCACAGAATTAGAGAATGAGTGCTTGCTTCGGCCAAATACCATGTCAAAATTTGTCTTGTCTTTACAAATGTGTCTTGTTATGAAATGTATTTGGCGGGAATAGGTTATTAAAAGTTAACTACATTTTTCAAACAAATTATTTCCTTAATTAGTCCACATATGAGATTTATTATGCTTCATGATGTAAGACAAGAAGATGGAATTAAAAACTTCTTTAGTGATGTTTATGACTTGTATATAAAGGTAAGAACTAACTGTTTATGGTTCAGATTAAAGTGTTTTCTACCATATACACTTACACTAGGTTTGTGTTGTAGAAACTTAGAATTTTTCCACTATTGCCAACACAGGCAAGTACATTTGCTGGTAGCTTTATCCTAGACCAGGGGTGGACAAAATGTTGGATCAGGCTGGTGGCTGGACTCCATTTCTTGGCAGCCCCTGCCCACATAGCTGGGGGTAATTTCCATGGAGACCCTAGCAGCAGCCACACTCAAAACATGAGGCCGGGATTTCCGTGGAGACCAGTCCCAACATTGCTGGCAGGGCAGAGAGCTGCTCCAGAGCCAGGCTGGGATCGTGTGGCAGTGACGGCACGGTGCAGAGCTGCAATGTGCAGCCTTCATGCTCGGGCAAGGGTGTGCAGGCAGAGGATCATAGCTCTGCCCTGCCTCCTTGCAGCAGTGATAGCATAGTCTGAAGCTGGGGCAGAGCTGCAAACCACTGTCTGGAGCATGCAGGCTGCAGATTGCAGCTCTGCCGTGGCTCTGGAATTGCTATCACTGCTACAGGATCCCAGCCAGGCTCTGAAGCAGCTCCCTGCCCTGCCAGCATGGGCAGTGCTGGGAGGGGGCGGCTATAGCCACCCCTCCCAGCAGCACTGCTGCTGCCTGCCCTGCTCCTAACCGCAGCACAGCCATCCCCTCAGCCCTCTCCTGCAAGAGGCTGATGTCACTGCTGCCTGCCAGTGCTGCTGAGGCAGTCTCCATGGAAACCTTGGCCCCAAGATCCGTGCCATCACGGGGCGGCTTCTGCTGGTGTCTCCATGGAAACTGGCTTCAAACACGTGGGCAGGGGCCACTGGGAAATGAAGTCTACTGCTAGCTGGATCCGGCCTGTGAGCCAGACTTTGCCTGCCCTTGTCCTAGACAGTGCCTGTGGTTATAGCTTGCTATCTCAACTAGATTTGATCCATGCAGTTCTCATGAATATAGCATCCTAAACAGTTCTGGTGTACTGGAGGTTTTTTAAAACTTCTGTAAGTTGCACCTCCTCAGTGCTCAAGCTACTCATGTGGATTCTGCTGGGCTGAATTCAGAAGTGAATCAGAGGGGCATATATGATGTGGCAATTGAGGTGCAAGTGTAAGATTTTTTTTCCTAAATTCTTGAATTAATGCACATGAATAATGGAACCAAAAAAATAGTCTAACTTAGACTCTCATCCCAATATTCATTTTGACTGGTAAATATTGGGATGGGATGGGGAAAGGCCTGACAACAATATATTTGTTTAAAACATATAGTTTTATCAACATGTCTGAAATTATTCCACTAGAGGGAGCGTGTACCATTGTATCCAATGGTGGGTAGCTATCTGAGCCTCTGAACATGGATCAAATGATGTTGTCAATTGAAATGGATTCCTGTTAATATCGATAGGGATTTATACTTTTAAAATGTGGTGAGATATAGTTGAAATAGGGATTTTGATAGCAATTTTCTTTAAGTAATTGAAAAACTGTTTCTAACTAGCATTCTCAGTCATTAGTGAAAGTGTTTTTAAAGTAATATTTCAAAACCTCTTTATTGACACTGAGCTACTTCTTTTTCCTTAGTTTGCAATGAATCCATTTTATGAGCCCAATTCTCCTATTCGATCCAGTGCATTTGAGAGAAAAGTGCAGTTTCTTGCGAAGAAACATCTTTCAAGCTGAATACCTTTTTTGATTAGGGTACTTAATTACAGTTCAAACATTCATAAAGATGCAATAAACTTAAATATTCTGGTAAGTGTTCAGCATGTTTGATACTTATCTTTGTCTTCACCAAGGTAACAGCTCTTTCTGCTGATTATAATCAAAAACCATTTGAGTTCCTATGGTTATGAGAGAGCTACTAAAACCATCCAGTTGCCACATCAAAAAAGTGCTGTTAAAATGTCATTAAGCTTAACCAGCATTAATAAATCAACTACTGTGTTCCAAAGCTTGAGACATCATTATAATGCGTTTGCTGTACAATGGAGATATGAAAAGCAGATTTCACTGCTTCAGTAGTTCTAAGTGGAAAAAGCTGTAGTTTATTTTACAATAGTATGCCTTGGTACAAACAAACAATTTTTTTTTTTTTCAGCAATGGTCAGATCAGAGCTATTTTTCTCCTTCGTGAGAAATTGTTGCACAGTACAACACTAAACTATCAGATTAGATTTAAATATATATTGCTAGAAGAACAGATGCATGCTGTAGAATGCTGTGTTTATCACCTCTAGGGATGGCAAATAAGACTTTGCAATACTGTCTTCTATTACAACACCAACCTTTGAATAAGATACTATTTTAAAAATTAAAAAAAATGAAAACGCGAACAATTTACTGGATGTTCAGTGAAAGAAATCTATAGTGGTACATTGTGCCAATGAAAGTAGCAAAGAAAACAGACTAAAGTTTTGTAGTCCTGTTTTGCCTCAGTCTAAATTTCAATCCAGGAAAAAACCCTGGTACTTCCACTTATTTATTTCTTCCCCCCGGTGACACTTTCTTAAGGCTTAAAACTTTCCCGAATAGAAATTCCTTTCTCAATAGTAGACTTATAAACTGACTCCCTTTTGGTGAGGCTGCAAAGGGTCTATCAGAGCAGCACTTGTTATTACAGATGGACTAGTGGACATAATGTTGTTAGAAGAACTTTTTGTAAATACACTGTATATTCTTGTTCCAAAAGGTATAATTTTAAAACAATGAATAAAATACATGCACAACCATATCATCCCAAAATATTTTGTTTCAGTTCACAGTATTTGAAATAGTGTGTTTCTTTTGCAGCAGAACTATATAAATGGACTACCCCCCGATTTTGTTTATATATTTTGGTAACTACATCCTGTATTTTCTGTATAAATAAAATCTCAATATGAATAGACGTGTATTAGATGTGCATTTAGAGTCCTCACTTTTTAAAATCATCTTTATTTCTAAAATGGTCATTGTAAAATGTTCTAGAGAAAGTGGAACAAGGCATTATAGAGCGATCTTTTCTGTCATTTTATTTGGAGTAATGATGTGATGTGGATGCTTCACTTGCCTATGCTACAGACTAGTTGAAGGATGTCATAAAATCTTCAAAATGTAGTAAGAAGGGAAAGTATATCTTTCTACTAGTGTTAATAGAATGAAACTATTGCTCAAGAAGAGTACCTTGTATACTGACCTTGCATGTAAAATATGAAACTAGTAGATACACATTCTGAAGACTTCCATTTTTAGACAGTTTAAATGGCAGACCTGTTTTTGTTTCCACGTGCCTTTGTACAATGTCAAGTCTTTAACGACAAGGTTATTTAGGCTACATGCCTGTAAGTCTTAAACGATTGATTTTTGGGCCTGTTCACATACTAAGTGTAGTAAAATATCCTAAAACTACTTATGTTTGAAACTTTAGGGCTCCCTTGAGCTTCATACATTATACATTTATTATAAATCAGTGGCACTATCACCTGAAAATACAAATGTAACTTAAAATCTTATGTTGAAAGCAAGATGTTTCTCTGAATCAGCTGTTAATAGTCTCCCTTATGTCATACTGAGTCCCAACCCCCACTGAAAAAAGCTCTTGTTAATCACTCTGGAAGATGGTGATTTAAGGGGTTTCACAAAAAAAACAAACAGTAGTGGTACTTTTAATAGACATGCTGAGCAAAAAAAAAAAATGTTCCTTAGAACAGAATAGTACTTTGTAACCATCTGTCTTCAGAAAAGAAATACTGCCATGAAAGTATAACATTTTCAAAGTGACTTTGTTAGTTTGAGATGGGCTGGCAATTTATGCTTTAGAGGCACTGCTGAATTGATCATAAACTTGTGCTCATCCTTCAAGCTAGTAATACTGCTCCTCCATTGCCAACCGATAAGCTCCCACGTTGCAGCTATTAAATTTCTCTGCCTTTTAAGAGGGAACTACCTCTGGTGAGGAAAAGTTTTCTTTTAAGGGTAGGGAAACTTAATAGTTTGAAGAAGTCATTTGCCATGTGGAAAATTAGCACAAAAATTAAGCGGAGTAAGGAACCGTCTTTAGGGGAGAGAATAGATTGTGTTGAAAGAGGAACTGTTGGGTGGGGAGGTTGCTAATGGAGTTCCTCAAAGATCTGTCCTCAGCTTAATTGTATTTTCATTACGTCTGTTAGGATGAAAAGAAGCATACTCTTGGAACTTGCTTAACCCGAAGTTAGAGGAAGCTTGATACAGTCATAGACTATTAGTATTAAGTGGATGATGCAAGGGAATTTTAAGAGTGCAGTAAGGATGCAAAGATTTTATGGATGATTTATTTTCTATTGGACCAACTAGAAGGTTGGGATAAGATTTAGACAAGCTTCCAGATTTTGCAGCGCCATTCCTCAGGTCTCAGAAACTGCTTCTACTGGAAACCTGAGAGAAGGCACTGCAAAATCTGAAAACTTGTCTAAATCTGTTTCAGCCTTCCAGTTGGTCCAATAAAAGATGTCACCTCCAAAACTTGCCTTTCATACCTTCAGGACCATTAAAAATGGCTACATCGCTTCCGCACTACCACCATAGAGGCACATACTTTGTCATCAGTCTACCATTTTTGCTGCAACCTGGGAGCTTATCAGTTGGAAATGACAGAGAAAGAATATTAGTTACTTGAAGGATGAGCATAAGCTGCCAGTATGATATTGCTGTAAAAAAATGCAATTTTTGGGGGGATTGTAAGGAATTAAGTATTTTCAGTAGACAAGCACATACTAATATAATTGAAAATGACAGTTAGGACCTCATATAATCCCATTCTAAAATGGAGCTTGTTCTGTTTATGGAAGTGTTTACTTACAATAGTAGATTTGTATATGTTTAAATTTTACAGTATATTAGCCAATACTGTATCAGAATACTAATTCTTTTATTTCTAAACTTGCTACAGTCTATTTAATGAGCACAGCTCTTCAGTATTCCCAAATCAAGTGGCTAGGCTAATGTAATGACTACAGTAGGACAGATTTTTACATACTTAGGCATTTATGTTTCATCTTATATTCTGCATGGCAGCTTGTATTTTAGTTCAATTCTTATGTTTTGAAGATGTAGCTTATTGCCAACTCATTCTTTTCTCAGATCCTCTTTCCAGTACACGATGACTTTGTGCTTCAAAAGGCAATTAACACAGAGACCCATACCAGCAGTTATATTGGAGGCCTAGTTTTTCCAGAGTAGTTGCAACTCTAATATAGTTTCAGCCTCATGTCAGGGTTTATTTTGAAACATAAGATATGTGCTAGCAACTTTCCCTATCCCAGTGTCTGTAATTAAATAGTAGATACTGAATCCGTTTGAGAGAGAGAGCGAGCGAGCGAGCGAGCATCTCTTGAGCTCCGTTGCCTTTAAACACAGGGTTTTTTTAGTATATTTTTATTGTAGGTTTAAGTACGAAGCAAGCAATAGGGCCCCATTGTGCTAGATCTACTGACATTAAAAAAAAAACCCAAAGCATTCCTTGCTCTTTCTAATACATTGTGTATTCTTACATAGCCTGAAATGGGAAGTTCTACAGGAAGACACCACACAAGAAAATAAATGGACAAAAGCAGCCACAAATGAGAGAGAGACTTGTATGCAAATTTCCTAGAAGGCTGCATTATCTGTGCGAATACTGCTAGAAGAGTGGATAGTTTTATATCCCATTCCTGTTATTAAAACTGGTCTGACAAGGGTACTAAAGCCAGTGGTCCTCAACCCTTTTAGATGCAAGGCACCCCTCCATAACTTTTGTGAACTGAGCTGCACCCCATTTCAACAACTAAATTTACTACACTGTTTGTCTCCTTCCAGAGTGGCTAGGCACCGAGGAAAAAGGAACCACCAGGCAGGAAGAGCTTGAGCATGCTCTTAAATGTTTATCTCATCCTACTTCATGTGGCACCCTTGAAAGGATCTCTTATTACCCTGGTTAAGAATCACTGAGCTAGACAGTCAACCCATTCTTAATGCATGAACTTGCCAGCCTACCTAGGGACAATTGAATGCTGCTAGTGTTTTTCCTACTGCTTCAGAAAGGGTAAGGAAAATACATGTTGTAGGAATTAAAAGTACAATTTCACTCTATATGACTTACTGTCACTGTGGGGTTTTCCTTAATGTGTTTCACTGACATTATAAGTGTCTCGTTTTTTAAAAAACTATCACCACAGGAGTTTTATGCTGGGCTTCAGCAGCCAACCTTGCTTCTTCCTTCCTCATTTATTATGAGTAAGAAAGAAGGTACTGCAACCTAAATTATGCCCTAAATCAGTTAAATCCCCTAACAGTCCTAACTGAAAATAAAGCAAGTAGTTCTGTTACTGTACATATAGGACCAGAAGACAGGGGAGCTGGACTCATTAGTTCTAATGAATAAGGTGTAAGAACTTGTGCTATTTTAAACAGGTTTCTGCTGACACATGAAGTAAGGAGATGGCATTACAACATACAGGTCTGCTATGCTGTGTACTTCTAGATCATGCAAATCACAAAAGGATTAAAACTTAACACATTGGTTCAAGAAACAGTTAAGTATTACAGGTACAGTTTTGACTCTTAAGCACTTACACCCATAAGATACAAAAAAAATTGAGCAATTTAGATTTCAGTTATTCAGCTTCAAAAAACACAAGTTAGTGGTTCCACAGGAAGTAGTTGCACTCTGGTGCACATTTGCATGTCCTACATTTGGCTTCAACACAAAGGTGCCAAGTCATTGGTTACATTTTACTGCTTAGCTTACAAAATGGGAAAAGCATACCCATGTTACAGTAGCAACCATGTCAAAATAACAGCTGGAAAAAAAAAGCCCCCCCCCCAAAATCAGGCAGTCTATATAATGACAGAGCCATTCCTGCATAAATGTTTTAGAACAATTGCTTTTCAAGAACTTTACGCAGTCATATATTCTAATTTAATTGCAGCTGAATGACACACAAGTTCTGCTATTTTAATAGCATTGCTACAGAGAATGTGCAACTAACCAAAGAATTTGTCTTGCAAACAGCCTTAAAATGGAATTAAAATGACAATTCATTTTACCCTTCATTTCACTTAAGGAAACATTCCTTAAATTGAAACAAAGAAATACTCATCTCTTCTCCATTTCATCTTAATGGTGAAGTAAGTTAAACCCCAACCATGTCCTTCTGGAACCAAATCCAACCACTTTAAGAACAGATGCAACTAAGACTTATCCATTTATGCCAAGGCTACAGAGGAACCTCTTTGGAGTCATTAGCTTCTTGGATGGACTCTATACCTCTTTAGTGTAAAGATATTTATCACATCAGTCACAGGCTGAAAAGTATCTAGATCAGTGGTCCAATCTCAAACATAGGAAAGAAAGACTTGGAATTCTTGAACGGTTTAAACAATACACCAGAAGTACCCAATATATGTTGTAATTTGTCATTAAACTTCTGTTAAGAGAAGTCATTAAACTGCTTATAGGGATAGGGTGAAACTATTTGACAGTGCTAAATTACATGCTTTACTGCTTTAGCCTGGCCAAAACACTGGTTTCAAAATAGGGATTGTTACCATTGTCCCTGAAATGCTTTTCAATACCAGTTCAGCAGACCTTCTGCGGACCATCGGGAGGAAGTCTGTTTCCCAGCACAAATGAGGCAGCGAGATCTAGTCATTAGTTGTATGAAACTAATGTTATTTTGAAATATCCTATTAGGAAAATTAAAGAAAGCTTCAGTAAACTAGATGAAGGGAAAACACAGGCATTAAGGATACAGGAGATTTATTTTCTCCCTTGAAATCTACAGTATTTTTAGTGACACTAGGTAATTAATAGCAGAAAACCCGATTTATATTTTAAACTTATAATTAAAAGAAGAAAAAAAAAATCACATTACAGATGAAGTACCACTCAAAAGGAATGCATTGAGACTGAAGTTATTAATATCTAGTATTCTTTTGTTACAAAATGGATTTTAGTGAACCAAAAATGGAATGCTAATTTCATAAAAATATATGGATGTATAAATGTTTCTTTGCATTTGAATTCAAGAAAAAGTTTCCTGAAGTAGTGCTTTTAGAACTTTCAAGTTTTAATAATTTCATTTGAAGTATTTATCATTTGATTTATTACTTTTGCAAATTACATATTTATGTTAAATGAACATTTTTAGTAGACACTTTCCTGGAGAAAAGATGCCATGAATTCATTAAGTCATTCACTGAATGGAAGCTCTTTCTCTACCCCACATCGCCCAAGAAAGCAGCAGTATATATATTTAATAATATTAAAGTAGAACCCATTTTTCATTATTTGATCTATCCCTGAACCCCATTTTTTTTAGTCAGGACTACATTGGCAAAAAAGCATTTAACAGTCAACAGCAAGATGAACTGGGCTTGGGCTTCCGGTGAAGGTTTATTGTATCTGCGTGAATCAAGTGATCTGATCTATCTTCAGTAGCAAGAACTCTTCGAACAGCTTCCTCAAAGGCTGCTGCAACATTAGTGGCATCTTTTGCACTGGTTTCAAAATAGGGATGGTTGCCGTTGTTCCTGCACCAGGCCTGGGCTTCTTCTGTTGACACTTGCCTTTCATTTATGTCGATTTTGTTACCCAATATCACAAAAGGAAAACTTTCTGGTTCTTTGACATCTGCATAGTAAATGAATTCTTTCTTCCAGTTGCCCAAGTTTTGAAAGCTTTGAGAGTCATCTACGCTGAAAGTAAGGAGGCAACAGTCAGAACCTCGATAGAAGGGAGTCCGCAAGCTCCTGAACCGTTCCTGACCTGCTGTATCCCAAATCTGCATTGTAACAAAGTGTCCATCCACCTCCAAATCTTTATTTAAGAATTCCACACCTATTGTGTGGAACAGCTGTGTATCAAACTTGTTAGTGACATATCTGTTCATAAGTGAACTCTTCCCAACTCCACCATCTCCTAGGAGAATTACTTTAAGGAGAGACGATTTCGCTGCCATTGTTATGAAAACAGATCTTTTCCACTTCTGAATCCTGTAAAATAAATACAGACTTGGTTTAGAAACAATATATTTACCTGAGTCGAAAACTACTTCAAAATTAAAAACAACTCTCCATAATTAAGTGCTATACATGGAAAATTATAAATTTCTATATACAGAATCTAATTACTGTTGGATTATCTTTAATTCATCCCCGCCACCACTGTTGCAGGAAAATTAGTGGCAGTGGGGTAGGCAGCCTTCTCCCCATGTGCTTGCCTCTGCTGACACTGATCCAGGTGCAGAGGAAGTTTCAGAGCAGGTCCTCCCCACAGTGTGTGAAGCCCAATTTAGCCAGGGACACCAGCAGGAGTATGCAGGTTCCTCCTTCCCTTCCACCCAAATCTCCCCCACTGGCTGGAAACAGTGGAAGAATCTGCATACTGCTGTCCCTGGCTGAGCTGGGCTCCCCGCATAGCTGCTCTCTGCAGCATAGGTCAGGAGCAGCTCTGGGGCTCCCTCCCCCACATCTGCATCAAATGAGGATAGCAGTTCTTCCTTCCAGTGCCTGCTCTCAACCATCTTGGGAGATGAGGTAAGGGCAGGGGGTCTGAGCAGGAAGCAGGCACTGGAAGGAGGAACCTGTATGCTACTACCATCCCTGGCCAAGCCAGGCTCCTTGCACAACCTTCCCACTGCATGAGTCAGGAGCAGTTTTGGAGCTCCCCCTGCATCTAGATTAGACCAGGATACCACTGCTCCCGAGCTCCCAGCTGGAACAGTCTGTGCTCAATTCTAAGAGGAAGCCTTGTTTTCCCCCATATTGCACTTGCAGCGAAGCGTTGCAGAGACTTCAAAAGGTCATTTAGTCCAACTCTTTGCTCAAGGCAGAATATTTCATATCTGAACCATCTCAGACAAATGGTTTTCAATGATGGAAATTCCCCAATGTCTCTTGGTAGTCTGTTCTGGTGCTAAACCACTCTCAGAGAAAAAAAAACCAAACAACTTTCCAACATCTAACCTAAAACTCCTTTCTTACAATTTAAGCCCATTACTTCTTATCCTGTCCCCTATAGCATACAAAAGATTGTAAGCATTTATTTTATGCCTGTTTTATCAAGCCTTAATTTTTTTCCAGATTAAACGATTACAATTCTTCCATCTTTTCTGTGTCACTTTCTAGACCTCTAGTCATTTTTGTTTCTCTCTTCTGAACTCCTTCCAACTTGTCTGCCTCATTCTTGAAATACAGTACCCCCTATACTGGAAGATACTCTGGCACTTGTTGGGTAAGTTTGAAGAGCTTATCTTAGGCTCTTATTGTACTGATTTTCTAGGACAATTCTCACTAATTCTTTTTTCAGTGGATATGCATTAAAAGTGGGAAGGGAAAGGAGGTTTTTAGTTCCCTTAATAGTAACTGCCTTCACAATATTGGTCACTTTAGTACCACAATTAATTTTAAAAGAATAAAAATTATCATTATAATTTGTCAAAAACAGTGAAAGCTGTAGAAATAAAGAATGTGCAATCATGTCTGTTCTGCTCTATTTTATAATTTCAGTTAAACTTATCAAATGTGAGCCAGCAATAAAATACTTCTCTTAAACCAATGTCATTCTATACATTGTCAGTATTTATATTTTGCTATTCCTACCTTATTGTTCCACTTCGTTAATAACATTTAAAACATAAATATTTAACTAGAGTCAAAATATAGGCAATGACTACATTAACAATTTTATCAAGTTCTCTCGCCATTTTGTACCAATGGTGGTAGAAAGGCTGTGTGTATAATTTAGTTGCACACACACATGTTCTTTAGTACATTTCATGTCATCATTAAACTGAACTATACATTTTTTTTGCAATTTTAATAAGTTAAATTACATTTTAATCAGCAATCCTAGCCACTCAACCCTACAATTTCTATACCAGCATAACTACTCTTCATCTGTATGACAATTAGTAAAGGTCAAAGCAGTTCAGACCAAATAAGCCTCATTCTAGAAGAGTTACATGGCCATGAGGGTATTCTCTTCTAAAAATACTGAAATCCCCAGTTCTGGCTGGCTGTATCAACTGGCAGACAACTGTACAGAATCAAGGTCCAATATAAGCTGGTATCTAACAGTGTACCTCAAGGTATAATTCAGGCCCACACCAGAATCCTGTAATTTCAGGAATGTTCTTGTTCCTTCTATCTTGAGCTTCTTCATAGCATGCACAAGGCTTGGTCTTAGGACCTCGTTTACAATAAACATGAAAAAAACCCCAGACGTTTTAACTTAATTAGGAGCCTTAAGGTAGAAAGGTTTCTAGCAAGAGAGAAAAGACAGCCTTTTCTGGACAGAATTTGATGAGCAACTGATAAATTTATTCAATCTTTTCACTTAGAAGCAATACTTTAAAGGTAAGTCTACTCTTAAATTAAAACACTTTGGTAAGCAACACATTGGTAGTAGAATAAACAATTTTCTTTCACAAAACTACAACCTGGATAAGTACCTAACCATAACCATGATCCTGTAAAGATGTTTAAGCAGAAGAGTCACTGTATGGACATAAATAGTCTTACTGAAGTCTACTGGACAGCTCACTCATGTATGCTCTGAAGTCTTTGCTGAATCAAAGCCTATACTATATGTTTTTTAATTAGCTAGTTTAGATAGTTTTTGCCATGCTTATTAAAAAAAAAAAAATTTAAGTAGGGTAATTTAACCAAACTTCAGTTTGTACATTGATTTTTCTCTCCAGTTGAGTGTAGTAACTTGGAATGCTTATCTCTGCAGAGAAGAACAAGTTCAGGGTCTCTAACATCCTTAATGCAAGGACAACCCAAATACAAAACTGATAAGCAAACAACTCATGCTATTATTTGCAACCAGCACAACCTGGTTAAACATGCTCATCTTCCGGAAGTGAAAAGTGAAAATGGTTCAATAAAACTATTCTCTTCCATCAGGGTATGCAACAAGAGTTACATGTTACTTATTTTTTCTTTAAAAAAAACCCAAAAAACAAAAACAAAAAAACACAGTGCCCAAATCATTTAGGGGTATCTGTACATAAGCATGGAGGCAGATTAATTGAGTCTGCCGGAACATGGTAATTGCCACACTCCAGCAGCCTCCTACATCTTGTGCATCAGCATCCCTATGCTTAAAACAGGCTATGGGGTGCTTGGACTAAAGCTTGTCAAAGAAGCTTTAGTTCAAGCACTGCTGCTGCCATTTTTGAGCACAGAGATACTGATACAACAGATGCAGAGGTGTTTGCCTCCCCGCCTCCCTGGAACATGTGTAAAAAGTACCCTAGGAGATTAAATATGGAATTAGAAACATTACTGAAGTTATTGTAGGTATTTTTCACACACAGCTTGGTTTAAAGTCTACAGTGCTTTCAAGTTACTTAAGCAAGCTTTCTGGTTTTTGGGGGAGTTTTTTTTGCAACAAAAATGTAATCACTAACAAAAGCTTACTAAAATTGTAGACCCAAACATGTCTACATACACATTTAAGCGTTCACAACCATGTGATTAGAAGTAAGAAGAACCTTAAGTCTTTACAGGATCTTTAGAGGGATTTATTTTCAATATTCTGGTTTTAGTCACACAAATGTTATAAAGAGAGATAAATATGTAAAACCTCCCAAAATAATGCATCCTCTTAAATTTATTAGATAAAATTGAAAAGTTGCAATATTGAGTGTTCCAATTTTAGAGCCAATGTTAAAATCAATAAAGAACCCCACAATATAAAAATATTAGATTTTAACTACTCTACCCTGTTTAACATGTGATATTCTGTTCATATTTAAAATATAGATAAATACCTGATATAGCAGCATACACAAAGAGAAATCAACATTTTCTACATCAAAAAGATACTTACTTTACCTTAATTGTTCAGTTTAAATCATCATTCAGCATCTGCCAATGAAAAAAATATTTCAATTTCCTATATGGAAAAAAAAATTTAAACCCATTTTAAAAAGTAGCAGACCCATCTTTTCAAATTTGTCAAGAGACTGTAGATCTCAACTGTAGCTCACTTCATACCAATTGGTTAAAGGCAGGTTAACGACATACCCAACCCTTCCCACACCTCAACCACACCCACCCCACCACATGCACCCACATCCTCACACACCCCACCCCCTCAAACTCACACACATCCAATAGTCCCACACTGACATTTAAAGTCTTTTCCCCCACATTCCACACGTATACACCCCAAACTCACCCCACCCACACATACACCCCTCCTACACCCACACACACTGCCCCTGCACCATAACTACACCCCACACACATGCCCCAGCCACCTCCTTCCACACAACATACAAGCAAATCCCAACCCCTAAAAGGAGTACTTCCTGGACAAGGGGAGAGTCTCGCAGTGGCAAGGGTCAGGGGTTAGGGGGGTGGGACTACCCTTGCAGCCCTCGATTCCTCACCAAACCTTATTTTGGCTGGGGGATGCTTAACAACTGCCCACCCCTGCTTTAAGAGAACTAAAACTTGAAAGTAGCGCAGTTGCCTCTTAAGTAAGATGAAAGGCAAGTAAGATTCACAAGTCGAGCACCACTGTACTAGAGCTTCTTAACCTCCTCCCTTCGGGCCAAATGTTGCCTCCTGACCTTGGAATCCTACCCATGGGCTCCCCAAGGGTTGGGAAATTTGTCAGCAGGGGAGCAAGGGCAGTTAATACCACCATCTCCCCCCCACCAAAATCCCAAGCACTAGGCAATGTGTCCTAGCCAAGCCATGATCCTCCCACCACAAAGTCAGATTGGAAACCAGGCCACGCCCCCCCCCAATGGATCTGGGCCACACGTTTCTTCCAACCCAGCCAGGTTGGGGCCAGGCCATGTCCCTTTCTTCTCACAGGGCTGGGGCAAGCCCCCTTCCCCCACAAGGGGGCTGAACTGCCCCCACCCCACTCCTTGCAGCTGGATGGGGCCTCACCACACTGGCCTGATTGAGTCCACTAGCTGGATCTAGCCTGTGGAGGGACTGGGCACTGCTCATCTAGCCCACTAGATAAAAAGGCTGAGAACCATGGTTCTGGTAGATGAATGTAAACAGGCTAGTACAAGCTGCCAGTGTTTCTGTAATCTATCTGATCACAGAAGGAACTAGCCTCATAGCCAAAAACTGCCAAAGTTTACAAAAAGACAGCTATCTGCCAGACTAAACTTTTGACTTGGAATCAAACTTTATTTGCTGTCATTAGCTGAATCAGCTATCATGTGATGTGCAGATTCAACCCATGTTGAAGTTAACTGTGCCACTAACAACCACCTTTGGGTGCACACACTCCAAAACAACAGCTTTCAACCAGGAGTCTTCACAGGTGGCTGGACTAGTTTAAAAAAGGGGTAGGGGGTGGAAAAGGTGTGCAGAAGTAATACATCAAAGAAGGAACCTTGTCTGCCTATGTCCTTAGACCAACACGGCTAAAACCTACACCCCTACATCAAACAATGCATTTAATGCTTTGGAGTAGCTAAGAATCCTGAAATGAAGGGACACTTGTACTACTACTTAGTCCAGGGGTGTTCAACTTTTGGCCCACAAACCAGATCCAGCACCCACCACCATATTATCCGGCCTGTATGCTAGCCTGGGTGCCAAGGAGCCCAATCCCTGTACACAGGGTCCAATCCAGCCTCCAGACATGCGCCATGCTCCACATCTGGCCCACAAGGCCAAAAAGTTAAGCACCCAAAACTTAGTGCACTCTTAACAGATTTTCAAAGAAATAAGTAGTATGATATATTGTGTCTGTGCATGTAATTTATAAGACAATGCACATGCTCCAAAGCAATTCAGTTCCAGTAAGAAGTGTCAATAATTCACATCAATCCAAGGCTATCAAATTTACAAGACTATGGGTCCACAAAAAGTTCCCTGATATTCCTTTACTAGCCAAACTGCTTTGGGATCTCTCTTGTGCTTCAGCAGGAAAGCACTATAGTAGGATTTCTGGAAGCAAATCAGAATAGCCATTTAGAAGTAGGACACAGAAATAGTATAGAAAGAATGTATTTATATTTATAATGAAGTGAAACTTTTTTTTTTTTTTTTTTTTTTTTTACCACTTTCAGAAGGTTATATGAGAACAAAGAGAAATTAAAGCCACAGGTTCCTCTTAAGATACATACAGGTGCTTATGAGGCTATGGTACAGTAAAATCACAACATATAATCTAGTAAAATTAGATACTTAGATCATTATAACAGCCTATAAGAAGTGCCAGTTTTGGAACATGCTATACATGAAAAGCCAATCATATACACTTACACTAGTATCTGAAATAAGAATTTATTTATAGCCAAACTCAATTCTACAGACTCCATCATGTCTTCTAATAAGAGTTTTCTTCACAAGAGAAAGCATTTTTCCTTTAATGTTTATTTGAGAATTTTAACTTTGTCAAATGGCAAGTAATCCAGTAAGAACCTTTCTGAGGTGGCTCCGATTCTTTTTTTGTCAAAATCACCCCTCATATAAATGGTGCATGAACTCCAAGATTCTTAAAATATACCTAAATATGTATACAGTTATACAACTATACATGCAATATTATTGAAATCGATATTTTTAAAAAGAGAAATTCACAATTCAAGCCTTTATTCAGTCCTGCAACCGTGCAAAGATTTATAAGTTTAATAACAATTAAGAACACTAATGAATTTCAGGATACAGTATTATCAAGGATATGAAGTAAGATGGAAAAAGTCTGTTCCCTGTGTTCAGACTGAGAAAGAGGATATTCCAGAAAGGAAAAAATGTAACACAGTAAAAGCTTTGTTATCCAGCACCCACGGGGAACGGAGAGTGCCAAATAACAAAATATGCCGGATAACTGAGTGGCCTGAACAGGCGCCTGTCCCGCCATGTCTGGGGTGTTGCCACCCCTCCCACCATATCGCTGCCACTCCCATGGGCTCTGTGGGACAGGGAGGGGGGACTCGCGCAGGCTACTATGCCCCTGGGCCGTGGGGGCTTGGCTCCACGAAACCTGAAGTGCCACGGTGGACACTTTCACTTTCAGTTTCACTTTTCCCTTACAAGCCCATACAAGCCAGCATGCTGGTTAACAGAACATGCCGGCTTATAAGGTACAAGTTAACACAGCTTTTGCTCTACCAATATTTACTGACTTTAAAATACATATACATATTGGCACATAGCCCAGATGTAGGGGAACTATCCAGAACTACTTTTAATTCTTAAATGAATAAGTGTTAGGTTCATAGTGATCCTCTAAAACTAAAGGATGATATTTAGTCCTTTATGACTCTAAACACTTATTTATTGTTAAACTGCATATTCCCAAAAAGGCAGAGTGGGGAAAGGGAGAGGCGATGAGATGATTTACAACTTTATCATACTAAATTGCTTTTACAGGAATTGATTTACCTTTCATCCAATTAAATGTTTCTACTTTAGAACAATCAAACAATTTTAAACCACTACATTATAAGGAACTTTGTATTAACAAGCAAAGGATTTTAAGGAACTCTAAAAATATAAAGGGATACACCTACAAAATCTGTCCATAAATGTTATGTTAAATTGGGGTGGGCAAAATGGGGGATCCAGCCAGCAACCGGACTTCATTTCCCAACAGCCCCTGCCTGCATTGCTGCAGCCAGTTTCCATGGACACCCCAGCAGGCACAGGCCAGGGTTTCCCTGGAGACTGGCCCCAGCAGTGCTGGCAGGGCATGTGACTGAGCCAGGGCAGAGGTACCGTCCACTGCCTGCACACCCCTATCCAGGGCATGCAGGCAGCAGATCGCAGCTCTGCCCTGGCTCTGAACCACGCCATCACTGCTGCAAGATCCTTGCCCTGGCCACGGAGCAGCTCCCTGCCCAGCCACATGCTCTACCAGTGCTGCTGGGGCTGGTCTCCATGGAAGCCTGGCCCCATGCTGTCACTATGCGACTGCTGCTGGGGTCTCCATGGAAGCCAGTTGAAGTGATGCCAGTAGGGGCTGCTGGGAAATGGAGTCCACCATGGGCCCAATCCAGCCCATGGCCAACACTTTTGCCCATCCTTGCATTAAATGGTTCACATTTTAGATGCACCACCACACGACTTGACTAGGAGCCTTTCCTTTTATTTGAAAGACTTGAGTATATTCTAAGAAAACTGAGGCAAAGAAAGGATCAGTGACTTGCCCTAAGACATTAAAAGTGTGTTATAAATTTAAAAATAAATAAATAAAGGGGGGAAAAAAAGTCATAATCCTATAATTCAAACTCCCTCAGTCACTTATCCCCATTGCTCGTAACTGGGACACACTTTACCCTACTGCATTTGGTCTTCTGTGGTACATCAGACCTTAGTAAGTATCCTTCATTTATCATGAGCTTAAGGACCTCCAGCCACTTGGCTCTATAGTCTCTAAAGCAGAGGTAGCCACCCTACAGTAGAAGTGCCACAAGAGGCACAAGCAGCCTCTGTGTGGCACTGCAGGATCAGGAGGAGGACAAGCAGAATGCAACACAAAGCAGAGCAGCAGATTGGGAAGGTTGGAGTGGCACTTGGGAAATGTGAAAGCCTAATTTGTGACACCTATTAAAAACATTAGCCACCACTGCTTTAGAAACTGAAAAGTCCGTGTGTCCCCCCCGCAACACCAGATGTCATACTTGTCCACTGCTTCCCTATCATACTACTGTACATGTAGTTTGTACTTTCTTGTGGAGAGCTTCTCATCACATGGGAGATGATCTGGACCTCCATCATAGCACCTGATTGCATCTACTATCAGGGTGGATTTGATTTAAATCACTGGTGAGGAAGCCTCAATTTAATCCTTGTTTTCTACAAAAGGTTGCATCTACGTGTGCCGTTTTAAGGAGCATTAGACATTAAGGCACATTAAGGGTGCAGGGTCTACATCTAGGCACCCTTAATGCACCTTTAAAATGGCCATTTTAGGCTAGTTGCACCTAAATTTGATACCTGCAAAAGCATGGATAGCTAAAGTGCCTTAGCATGTCTACACATGTGTTAAGGCACATTAACGCTGTGGACATTGACAGACTTGGGATTAACTTTTGTCCTAAATCAGTCTGTGTACCGCGTTAATACGCCTTAGTGCGTACACATGCAGACACATGCCTAAATCGCTTTAACATGCATTAGGTAAATGCACATTACGTTTAGGCATGTGTAAAAGCATGTGTAGACATCCTCAAAGTGCATTCTTGTTGTTCGATATCCTTTATTCATTTAACTTCTTGAAACTCTACACTTTTAGAGAAAGGTAAGGGCTTGAGGAGAGACAATAGGGTAGGGTAGGTAATCAGGTCTGTTCTCTCTTATCTCCATATACTGCTGTTAACAAGGATGTTATCTCTGGAGACACAAATCCACAGTTTGAGAACTGAAATTAAGCATCACAGAGATACTTAATGGGATCTTCTAGACTGAGCACTGAGTCCCACTGGGTACAGTGGTTTTCTTTACACTTTACTACTCTATAGTGGAACCTTCAGGAACCCCATGAGATTGGACCTCTAATATTAGTCCATGGCCTGTTGTGACCCATTTCTAAAACTTTTCTAAAAAGGAAAGTATTGTCTCAAATAGTATATACAGTAAAATCCCTGTTATCCAGCATTTGAGTAACTGGAACACTCTATAAACTATAATTTCCAGCCAGACATAGGCTGGGGAGCTCACACATGGCTGCTGCCACTGCCACCCTGTGCTGCAGCCACTCCGTGTGCGGCCACCCGCGTCCCCACCCCAGCTGCCGCTCTGTGAGAGCCTGAAAACCACTGGCCTCAGGTAATCAGCATTTTTAGATACCCAGCACTCCCCATTAGTGCCAGATAACAGAGACTTTACTGTAATAAGAAGTTATAATCCCTACTTCACAGATTTCATAGACATTAGGGCTGGAAGGGACCTCGGAAGATCGAGTCCAGCCCCCTGCCCCAGGAGCAGGAAGTCAGCAGGGGTCATAGAAAAACATCCACGTTTCTCTTGAAGGTGTTCAAAACATCCACGTTTCTTTTGAAGGTGTTCAAAGTAGGTGCTTGAACCACCTCTGGTGGCAGACCATTCCAGACCTTGGGGGCTCAGACAGTAAAGAAGTTCTTCCATATGTCCAGCCTGAAACAGCCTTGCAGGAGTTTATAACCGTTCGACCGTGTCACCCCTTGGGGCGCTCTGGTGAACAAACATTCCCCCAGATCCTGGTGAACACCCCTGATAAATTTATAGGTGGCCATCAGATCTCATGATGTAATCTTTGAGCTTTAACATATCTTAAATTAAAACGACCTTTATTTAGGTTTATTTTTTTAAAGCATCTTAAAAAAAATTGTTTTAATGTGATTACATCAAAATATCTGATTTAAATTAAAAAATCAATTTTTTTATTAAAAAAAATTGCTGATTTTTATCCACCCTGTCTACTATACATGCATTTACTGGTCTAGAAAAACTGGTGCACTGTATTGGAGGAGGCCCAATATTATAGAGCAGATGCAGCTCAAGTAATAAACTGCATAGTAAAATAAAACTGGAATAACATTAAAACAAATAAAAATAAAACAAAGAGAATAAAATAAACTTGGCATATCAACTTAGATTAGGGTTCCTGCTTACAACTAAAATGAACAGATCTAGCAGAGACCACACTGAAAGATTTTTTCTCCCGTGTACATTTATCCTTACAACTTCTGGAGAAAGACTTATAAAAGAGTTTTGGCAGAAAAGTACACTGGATACTACAAAAAGGTTTAAAATAAACGTCTCTAGTCAATAACTCCTTTTCCAAGGCTGCCTTTCCTGCTCCTCTCTCAAATAACACTTTGTACCAAAATGATGCTGGTTTTATACAAGTCAGGATGGTTGTTGGCAGCCTCAATGCTGAAAAACACTGACACTTATTTGGTAAAGTTGTGGGCTGCAATGGGGTGGGGAGTGAGAGGAGGGAGGTTGTTAACCCTGTCTGCAGACTCAGGAAGATGACAGCATCCTGGCCTACAACCTAGAAGTATTTTGTCTTCATGCTCTCATTTAATTTAAGTCAGCAAGGGCTGCTACTGCTGCAGGCCCCCTCTAAAACTCCCCTTTTTTCTGCACCTGTTGTGTGGCACAGTCCCTAGCACAGCCCCACTAGAGTGGGACCTTGCAGATCGCCCCTCCCGATCTGGCAATTTGAAAGTTATTCTGCAAAACACATCCCCCTTTTAGGAACAAGACAGCATTCTGCTCTTGCTCGACCTTCAACTTGCCCAAAGGAACGATTCCCAGAAGATCGGATATTATGTCTGTCTCCTTTGCTGCCCTGGCACCCAAAATGCCGCTCAAGCAAACTGCCCTTCCACAGGAGTCTGAAGGTCTCTGCAGCAGGGACTTGCAACCCTACACCACAAACAGAAAGTTTCTCCTGGCTTTCCCCAACCACAGAAGGGAGAGGTTGGCCGTGCCAAACAAGGGAAGAACCGCACGCAAGGTGCCTTGCTCAGTCAGGCCGCAGCCCTGTCTCTGCTACGTGGAAAAGGACTTAAAAAAAAAGGAAAAAAATCAGGGGAGGCAGCGTGAAAGGCAAATTTTGGGGATTTTTCCCCAATTGAAAGTGCCATACACACACACGCACACATACACACGCACACACGGGGAGTGAGTGGGGGACCGGCCCCGCAGTCACGGGATCCCGGTCACGCCAGCGGCAGGCGGGGGAAGGGGGACGGTTGCAGTTGCCCACGCAGCCGCCGCCCCGGCCGCCGGGGGAGGTTTTGGGCGCCGGCTTGGTCCGGGGCGGGGACGGGGCCGCCGTTACCTGCCCGCGAGGTGGAAGCGGCCGCCGGTAACACCGGCCCGCGATGCGCAGCTGCCACCGGCTGAGGAGGAAGGAGGCGCAACATGGCGGCGGGGAGAGGCGGGGTCTCGGGTCACGTGAGCGGTGCCCGGCCCCGCCTCCCGGGTGGGGGAGGGGCTTCCGCCTGGCCCCGCCCCAACAGCCGGGCTCCGGAGTGGGGGGGGCGGGGCCGTGCGCTTCCCGCGCCTGCCCTCTCGCCGGTTGCTCGGCACCACACACCGCACAGACAGAGAGAAAACAACAGACACACAGCACAGACGAGACATAAACATACACACACACAAATACCTACAAACACACACATGTACTGATACCTACAGACACCAGACACACACACACAGAAAACAACAGAGACACACAACACAGACGAAACGTGGACAAACACACACAAATACCCACAGACAAACACACATCCACACATACCCACAGATACCTACAGGCAGACACACACACACACAGATACCCACAGAAACAGGCAAACACACACATGCACAGATCCCCCCCACACACACACACAGGTTCACTCAAATTGGACATCCTAATGATGGGAGAGAGAGATCATTTAGGCCTTAAATAAGAGGTGTTTACTTTCAAAACACATTAGATGACTTTCTTGGTTTTGTCTCTGGCTAGTTTGGAGATACAACCCTTAAATAAGAACCATGTTAAGAATTTGTCTTGTATTGTTGCCCCTTTTCCCATTACAGATATTTCATTCTGAGGTTACTGCCTCACCCTCCACCACCAAAAGCTGAGTAGCAACAACTGTCTAGTGCCTTGCAAGCTGCACAAATGGTTACGAGGGAGTCTGGATCTATTCTAAACTTTACACACACGTACAAGCATGGGAATCTCACTGGTCCAAGAGAGTAACTGGGCCTCAAGATTTAACTCTATGCAAAGACCAAGCCAGAAAGCAGAGTCTTGCTGCTTGCACAGCTCCCTCTTGACAACTGCCTCTACCCATAACTTTGCACAATCAAACACTATTGACACATATCCTGTCTCCCTTCAACAGAACTATGTAATATCTTTTGTCCCAAAGGATTCCAAAACACATTATAAATTGTATACTACAAATACCAGTTAAATATAACCACCTCTCTGGTTATAAGCAGGGATCCTGGTTTTCTCTGACTTAAAAAAATCACCAATTTTCAGATTTAAAAAAGTAAGCCCAAATTCATAATTTTCCATGATTAAAATGAGACACCACTATATATATATATATACACACATATATACACACACACACACACACACACACACACACTAGCTAATTGCCCGTCATGAATGACAGTGTTTCCGGGAGTGTTTACATGCCTCTCCTTCTCCTGCCCCCTGCTCACCCTTCGGGGCTGCCCATGTAAACAGTCCCTCCACCACTGCCATCTCCTGCTCCAGCCTCCGGCACGGCAGCTTCCTCCCCCCAGCCCTCCCACCTCTGCTTCCTCCCGCGGAGCAACAGGGCTTCCCTCCACCAGAGGTGGCAGCAATGGCTCCCTCCCACCAGGCCACCCACCTCCGCCTTCTCCTGCAGAGCAGCAGGGCTCCTGCCTTCCTGCCAGCAACTCCCTCCCTGCCTGAGGAGGCGGAGCCCCCACAGCCAATTGCAGCTGGCCCTTTTTGCGGCACGTGTGCAGTTGCCCAAAAGCATTACAGACAGACAGACACACAGACAGGCAAACTAAGCCCTTTATTATATTAGAATATTTATATATTAATGGCATTAAATTTTAATAATGGAAAAACGTAAATTTAGGGTTACTTTTTTTAACCAAAACTTGGGGATTTTTTTTTTAAATCAGAGAAAACCAGGATCCCTGGTTATAAGCAAACCCCTGTCTCATTCCATGGGCGAGAAATAATTCAGTCAAGGATACTCTGAGGGCAACCACCTGCTCTTATTTTAAAATACTATCAATTCACACTGTATTGAGGATAATGGGAAGGCACAAAATCCCCAGAGACTGAGGGAAGTATTACTTTTACTGCAACAGTAGCTCCAGGAACACAACTGCGGCACCCTCCTCCTCCCCCTGCCCCAACTTTGAAAGAGTGGCATACACTTCTTGTGCATTGGGACAAACACCACAGCCTATTGCTAATGGCTGCATCCATTCACTTTGAAAATCAGAAATCACTGATAGCATTAGATTGTGTTGTGTTTCTGTTAAAATAGGTGTCCCCCCAAGTGGTCAGTACTGCAAAGCCCAACTCTTAGGTGCCCTGCTATCCAAAGGAATTCACAACCCTGAGTCAGGTGCCCAGATTCCTAGTATCAAGCAGTTTATTAGGAATGTAAGAATGGAGATTCTCCAAAATCAGCAGACTGACTGAGGCCCAAACTAGCCAGCTGGAAGTGCTGAGAAAGGAGGAAGCACCAAAAGCCCTCCCTTGAAAGCTAGTTCAGTACCCATCTCCATTCAGCACTCTCAGCTATAAAGATTCTCCTGGATCTAGCACCTAAATCCCTGTTCTGTATTATTTGTAGTGAGGCCCAAACCAATCCTCAGTCCCTGGTTTGCCATGGTGGCAGAATATGAAAACAATCAAAAGGTGATAGAAAGCAGTAGAGCAATGTCACCAGTGAGAAATTCCCTATGACCATTGTTTGGAGAAGGATTCATGGGCACAAAAAGGAGGTGTACTCAGGCTCTTTTGGTCAGCAAGAAGTGCATGCACCACTAGGATTTTGAGGGTGTGGAAAGGGAAATAAAAAGAGGGTGCAGAAGAGGGGATTTCGGATTACATCTTGCAAAGCAGGGACATCAGTAGGCTTGTTGTGGCCAAAGACATGTCTATGCATACATCTCACCATCTTTCTCTTCTTCCTGTCATTGACTGTGCTTGCAAGTAGTTAGGACACAGGAACTGACAGAAATAATTGCTACAGAGAATAGGCTTCTTGTAACTTTTAATAATTTTGCTTGTACAAAAGAACTGTGTTGACAGGAAGAATAGAAGAAATGAGTGACATTGATGTATTTACTCATTCCTCCAGACTTTCTATTGGGTTGCCCAGGTATCAGCTGAGTTTCTAACATTGCTAGTGGCATTAGATTAAGAGAGCTAGAAATTCAGATTTAACTTTATAAGTAAATGTTAAGAGAATTTAAAAAGCTGAATGGGTAGACACCATAAGTCACCACATGTCAGTCACCACATCAGCTTGGCAGTGGTGGGATACTTAGCAGGCATGGATGATGTTCTCATTGCTGGGGTCGTATGCTCTGAGCACCCAATGATCAGCACCTCAACTATAGATTTCATAGACTTCATAGATTTCATAGACATTAGGGCTGGAAGGGACCTTGGAAGATCATCAAGTCCAGCCCCCTGCCCAAGGGGCAGGAAGTCAGCTGCGGTCATAGGGTCCCAGCAAGATAAGCATCCAAATTTCTCTTGAAGGCATTCAATGTAGGTGCTTGAACCACCTCTGGTGGCAGGTTATTCCATACCTTGGGGGCTCGGACAGTGAAGAAATTCTTCCTTATGTCCAGCCTGAAATGGTCTTGATGGAGTTTATAACTGTTCGACCTTGTCATCCCTTGGGGCGCTCTGGTGAACAATTGTTCCCCCAGATCCTGGTGAACACCCCTGATAAACGTATAGGTGGTCACTAGATCACCCCTGAGCCTGCACTTTTCCAGGCTAAAGAGTCCCATAGCTCTCAGCCTGTCGTCGTAAGATCTGTTTTCCTGACCTTTGATCATGTGCGTGGCTCTTCTCTGGACTCTCTCAAGCTTCTCCACATCCTTTTTGAATTGTGGAGCCCAAAACTGGACGCAGTACTCCAGCTGCGGCCTCACCAAGGCTGAGTACAACGGGAGAATGATGTCCTGAGATTTGCTTGAGAAGCATCTATGGATGCAAGCCAGGGTTTTGCTAGCTTTACTGGCCGCAGCATCACAGCGAAGGCTCATGTTCATCTTGTGGTCAATCATGAGTCCCTTTCATCTGTAGTGCTAACCAGCGTAGCACTGCCAAGCCTATAAGGATGCTGCAGGTTTTTCCTCCCAAGGTGGAGAACCTTGCATTTTTCAGTGTTAAACACCATCAGGTTCTCGTCCACCCATTTCTTGAGCCTATCACAATCAGCCTGGATTGCCCTCCTGTCTTCAGGTGTGAATGCTTTACTCCAGAGTTTGGTATCATTGGCGAACTTGGCCAGTCCGCTTCTGACCCCAATGTCCACATCATTAATGAAGATGTTGAACAATATGGGTCCAAGGACAAAGCCTTGGGGGACCCCACTGGTCACAGGGCACCATGAAGATTGACTTCCATAAACCACCACCCTCTGGGTCCGACCATGGAGCCAATTCCCCAGCCAGCGGATCATGGTGGACCCGAAGCTGCAGTTGGCCAGTTTCTCTAAGAGGTGATTATGGGAAACCAGGTCAAAGGCTTTTTTGAAGTCAAGATATATGACATCAATCTCTTCTCCCTTGTCCAGGTGATAGGTCACCTGGTCATAAAAGGAGATAAGATTGGTCAAGCAAGACCTACCCTCATCAAACCCATGCTGGCTGTCTCTCAGGATGTTGCTGTCGGCCAGTCTGTTGAGAATGGCCTCTTTAATAATCTTTTCTAAGACCTTCCCTGATAGAGGTCAGGCTGATGGGCCTGTAGTTTGCCAGATCCACTTTCCACCCTTTCTTGAAGATAAGCACCGCATTGGCCTTCTTCCAATCTTTAGGCACTTTACCATAGTGCCAAGAGTTCTCAAAGATCTGTGCCACGGGCTGGGCTATGATGCTAGCCAGCTCCTTGTGTACCCTGGGGTATAGATTGTCAGGGCCAGCTGACTTGAAGGAGTCCAGCCTCTCAAGGTGTTTCTTCAAGAGGTCAGCATTGATGGAGGGCAGGGAATCTCCCTCACCCAGGCCCCACTGTCCCATGGAACTGATGGAGCAGAGGTGTCCCATGGAACTGATGAAAGACCGACACAAAGTACCCATTTAACAGGTTGGCTTTTTCCTGCGCGTCGGTTGTCAGTTGTCCCATCTGGTTTAGCAGGGGTCCAATGTTGCCCTTGCTTTTCCTCCAGCTCCCCACATATCTAAAAAAGGACTTTTTAT